GGGAGGGACTGAGGCGACCACCCACAGTGACACCAAGCCCCCTAAGTAGAGAGGAGACAAGGCCCAGCAACGTCACCGTTACCTGGAAGTTGCCTCTGTGGTCCTCAAAGAGCCCGGGAAAGGTGGCCTTGGGGTCTGGAACACTGGGCATGAGTAGCTTCTCCACTCTGAAACGGACACACAGAGTCTAGTCAGACAGACAGACTGACACCCTGAGACGGCCCTGCACCTTTGTGGAGCACACACCCCACAGAGGGGCCGAGGGCAGCTGCAGACCTCAGTGATGTGGCACCCAGAACCCCAAGTTGAAGAGGGGCGCCCCCCTCAATCTCCCCCTCCCACCCGAGGCTGTTAGCATCCCCAGGGTGCCCCCACGGAGGGTGAATGGACTCTCGGAACAGAGCCATGTTTTTTGCATAAAATAAACCCGTTGCCACCAAGTTGTGTTCCACGGGGCTTTAAATGGCTGGTTTTCGGAAAGAGGTCACCAGGAGTGTCTACTGAGGCCCCTCTGCACGGAGTCACACGTCCGTCCTTTCGTTTAATAACCCAGCATCACCCAGGTGCACCTAAAACAGGTGCCTTTGACCAGACTCTGTCAAGTAAAGCTGTGCACCGCGGGGCTTTCAATGGTTGAATCCAGAAGGTCATCACCAGGCTCAGAAGTAAATCCGAGGCTCCTGTGCATGGATCTGAGCTTCCCACCTTTCAGCTACCAGCTGAGAAGGTTAGCTCTTTACATGGCCCAGAGACTCCCAAAAAACAGGCTGCCTTTGAGTTGACTGACTCCTGGGGCCCCCACGTGTGTCAGGGTGGAACTACACCCTGTATAGAGTGTTCAGTGCTGGATTTTTCAAAAGTACATCACCAGGTATTTATTCCAAAGTGCCTATCGGTGCATTTGAACCCCCAACCTTCCGTTTAGCAGCTAAGAATGTTCACTGTTTGCAACAGTAGAGTGTTCCTTGCACAATATCCAAAAAAAAAAAAAAACACCCTTCACTGTTGTTATGTGTATTACAAATCACAATAAGCCCAATTGGGTCTCCAAGGCTGTCAGTCTTCACAGAAGCAAAGCCCAAACCACACCCACTG